TGCAGCTTGTTTCCATTGAGTTGAGCTAATTTCATTGTGTTGTGGAGATTTCGTTTGGTTGAGCACTACTGGGCCACCGTACACTACGCTACAAAAAATAGAACAAAACTTTGGCTGTGACGGTGGCAGATTTTTACCACCACGGTGGTAATGGACCAACTACCGCCGGTGGTGTTGATAAGCTATATAGTTAATATTAGTTATATTTGTAATTTATGTATACAAATTATACATACACATATATATATATATATATATAGGCCTATCATTTTGAAACACAAATAATAAATGAGGCTCAAACATCTATTAACAAACATGCGTGTTTATTTTAGCACTTCCGTCAGTGAACACGCAGCCTGCAAAACACTAAAATAAATATCAAAGAAATAATACAAGAAAGTAGCCTAAATAAGAAAGTTAAATACACCCTTTCTACCGGACACGAGTGGCACGGCGCGACACGACAAAATACTATAGAACTCATTATAATCAGTGATGCTACACTGGATGTGGCGCGACACGACATGAGAAATCCCCGACAATAAACTGCCTCGTCCTGTTTATTTGGTACTGACACAGAGTTCAAATGTGCTGTGTAGACAGACTCAACCCGTTGCGATGCGGCGGTGTCATGTCCGGTGTAGACACGGTTCCCTGTTATGCCGCCAAGCAAGCGGGCACATTAACTCCTCGTCTGCACGTGCTCTCTTTGAAATAGGAATCATTGCCACATTTCTTGTTAACATCTTCCATTTATCGCTGTCTCGTTTGTATTTGGCCAATTTGGAGAAAGCCTCACCAATCCTGACCAGCTAGGCGTTTGCGATCACGGGAACTTGAAGACACTTGTACAAGTGCGGATCGGTGACATGAGTGGAGATGTCTCCAGATCGGCGATGTAGTATTTGGTTTCCCAACAAGGTCCATCGCTCAATATGAAATTAATTTGCTGAATGCAGAATAAACTGTATGTTCCTGCGCTCAAACCTGCCAAACTAAAGGAAACGCCGTGTATGGCGTTTGAGGTCATTTGTGAATTAGGCTACCATAGACTTATACAATTTGAGACATTGTTGTCACGGCGACAGTCACAGCCCTACTCCTCCACAATTAATAAATTGTCATCTGAATGCATGAGTTTATCAATGAGGTGTCAAATTAATTTTTAGTCATCTTCTGAATAGGCTATACTGTACAATAGAAGTAAATGTTGACCAAATAAGTCACCATTTAAAGCAAGATTTCAGTGGATAGAAACCAAAATTTTGCTTCTTTCCTCAAAGTGATTGTATGGCTTTTAAAGACTTAAATTTTTTTATTGTTTATGTTTTTAGAGCGTGACAGCCCCAGTCCCCATCCACTTTTATTGTATAAAGAGTGCAGCATGAACATTTTTCAAAACATTTTTTTTCTTTTTGCTCTAAACCATAAAAATGTCATACAGGTAATGAAATGAGGGTTAACAAATGTATACAGAACTTTCAATTTTGGTTGAACAATCACTTCAAGGGCCGTCCACCAATAAGGAGGCAGCATCACCATTTAAAGTACTTTATGTCATGAGCTACTCTCTCATAACCCATAATCCTCTCAAATCCTTTGTTAATCATAGGAGACTAATTATTGTGATTAGTTGCAACAGTCCCACCGAGCGTCACCAATGTTTTGGTAATAACCTGCTTAAAAACATTTTTACACACACAATCGACGGGAACACACATCAGCCGGACAAGCAGATGAAAAGGTCTGTTAGGCCAGCGAATATGTGAACAGGCAAGTCCGATGAAAGATGATAGGCCAGCTGAGCATTAACTAATGCAGAACAAATGTCCTCTTGGCTTCATTGTCAAAGGGTTGCGTCACACACTAGCCATGCGCTTGAATCACCAAGCACCTTCGCAGTCAGAATATGAGCCGTTTGGATGCAGTGATATGCAAGCGTATCAGTATACGAGTATCATGGAGTCCCGCAGCACTCGGCTCTATGATTGTACTTTCTCAAGCTTTGAGCTTAAGCCGCCAGATCCTTTTCTTTCTCTTCACACACAATAAAACGATCTAATTCCCCTCTCTGGTCCAGAGCCACCCATTCATAGATGGATTCAGAGGCCCGTACGGCATGTTCCACGTCGGTTTGTGTTTGGGGAGTGCGCTTAGTAACTGTGAGCATAATAGATACAAAAGAAACATCGATATAAACTTACCCATGCACATCTGTCAGCAGATCGCTTTGCGAATTTGCCTCGATATATCAAGTTTTTACTTAAGGCGTGTTTGTAGATGAGGCCAGACAACTTGTACAAAGAATTAGGGCTGAGCGATACGAGCCAAAAATCATATCTCTGTATTTTTAGGATGATGGCAAATTACGATATACATATTGGTATTTTCTGCAGTTCAGTACTTCCACTTTTAGATGCAACATGTTCGTGGCATTCTATCTAGATTAAATGGTTTTGCTGCTTAAATGATCTTTTAAATATGGATGATCTCCAAATGATTAAACTAGGGCTGCAATTCAATTAATTCATATTTTAAAGGGCAATTTTTTAATTTCTGTATGTATTTAAAAAAATTATGATTCAATATCCTGCCCAATGTTGTCCCCCAAACAATAAAAACTGAAGATTGTTAAAGCGAATATAGTGAATTTATTTGTGCAGTCTACACTGTACATTATGAGCAAAATAAGCAGACATTAAAATCACTCAATTGAAATGAAAATAAAAACAAAAGCATAGACTAAATGTTAACTCGGAGGAACACATTTTCATTCATCTAAATATAATAATTACATTAAACTAGTCTTTTACAGCTACTGCTCTCATGCAGTTGCTTGTGCCACATTTAGATTTTTAAATCAACAACAAATATTTCAGTAAAATTTATATTTTAGTCAGAATTGTTGTGCTCCCTTTCTGTTGTGCTTGTTTGACGTGAAGTCTGTGAAGTTTAGCATAGACTTGCTTGCTGTCAGGACAAGCCTTTATGCAAAATGGAAATACTCATGTGACTTTCTTTCATTTAGAGGTGAGAATATACCTGTGAATCTTAAGTTATGCACTGAAGAAAACACGTCTCAAGCAGCACACCATATCTGTTAGTACACGTATCTGTCAGAGCACCTGACAGGGAAAACTGAGCTAAATTGTGTTCTCATGTGCTAGTTTGACGTCTTTAATATAAAGCATGTCTCGTGTTAAGGACAATTCAGGTCTTGCAGTTTTCCTGCAGCTGCTCACTTTGTGCACTTACTTTTTTCAGATGCACTCACAACATCAAAACTACTATATATCTGTATTATTTTTGATAATATATCAGTGAAAATAGTCGATGTAAAAATAATCCTGGATCAGTGGCTTTTTTTGGACACTTAGTCTGACCTTATTGACCTGTGACAACAGCAAAACAGAGACTAAGTTTGGATACCGATTTGCTGTGTTGCCAAATCCCAAATTTGACTTCCTTTGTCTAATTTCATCTGTTGTGTTTAGACATGTATGTCAATTTCAGTACAGTCTGCATACACAATTAAGTCTAAATACACAGTTAAAATACTGTAAGCGATGACATGTTTACATTAAGTGAGCCTTTAAGTGTTCTCATCAGAATCCGTGACCTATGGACCCACGATCATTGTTTTTTTCAATATCCTACCACCTAATCCAGATTATCGAGACAGTCAAGGCCTTGTGATTTACACAGGTTTTAAGACACATTGTTGCTGCCAAAGAAGTGAAAGAGCAGCCTAGTGGTGCATGTGAGTTCCTGGGTTTGCACAGAGTATGTGGTAAAGGGAGAGATGGGATTACGGACCTCCTAATCGGAGTTGTTTCCTGGAAAGTGTGCTCTCTGTCTCCAGTGAGCCGGTGATGCTCCGGAGAGCTCATGGGAAGCGTGTCACATGGGACAGACAGCTAAAAGAGGAGGGGGATGCATTGCACACACATCTGACACTCAGTTTCAGAGTAGAATGTAGACCAGAGTTATTATACTGGAGTATTTATTTATTTATTACTTTTTAAATTAATTGATTACTTTTTGGGGGGAAAATCTCTCAAAATAAATTAATAAAAAATACAGCTGACTGAATCCACTATATTAAGATTTGCCAACGTTTGTGAGGGTCATGCCATTATTTTTGCGTGGAATTATCTTTTAGTACAATGATATAAGATTACTTTTTTATTTGTAAACTTAGTGACCTTATTAATGAAAATGCTATGAAGATCAAAACAAATAAAATATATAAATTATAAATAAATATATGTATCAATTATAAATATATACAGTGTGTGTGTATATATATATATATATATATATAATAAAATATATAAATGAATGAGTTTATAGTTTGTATCAAGCCCCATAAAAAATATGGGATCGGAGGAATTAATACATTGATATAAGATTACTTTTATTTGTAAACTCAATTTTAGTGACCATGGTGGTGAAAATGCTATGAAGATAAAAACAAAGAAAATATAGAAGTTATAAATAAACATCAAATTTATCAATAATAACTAAGTAAGCAAGTTTATAGTTTGTATTGAGCATTCATAAAAAATATGGGATTGGAGGAACAATAATCTCATACAGTGGGGAAAAAAAGTATTTAGTCAGCCACCAATTGTGCAAGTTCTCCCACTTAAAAAGATGAGAGAGGCCTGTAATTTCACAATTGGTGGCTGACTAAATACTTTTTTGCCCCACTGTAGCTTTTACCTCCCAGAGAACATTTTTGTTTACTCACAAAAGTTTTGCACTCCCCCGAGAAACTTTGCATTCGCTCTGAAAAGTTTTGCATTTCCCATGAATATTTGTGTTAGTTCGCAAAACTTTTGCATTTCCCCAGGAAACGTTCCACTACTCGCAAAGTTTTGTGAATGAAAGCAACACTTACTGTTTGATCTCAGATTCTTTTTCATCACTGTATGTTCTTGCAGCATTCTGCATTGATTAGAGCACATGCTCATTTTGATCCTCTCTTTTTTTCGCAGACCTCATCACGTATTGCTGCATTATCACTGGCCATCTGAGTTGGAGAGTGAGGCGGGCTTGGTTTGCGAGCGTCGCTCCGCAGAGCCGTCCGATGACTATCTGACTCATCACAACCCGCGAATGACAGGCGTGCATTCGAAGGTGGGGCCCGCCTCAGTCTCACATGATTGGCTGCTGGATGGAAATAAGGTGAATGGAACACATGCCCAAGGAGCAGGACCCAAACCAATCAGAGGGAGAAGAGAAACGGTGAGCCTGTTAAGAACTGATCTCCCAAGAGAGTCCAGGCTTATTAGTGAACTCATTAGCTACGACGTTAGTCATAATGCTCATAAGTTATGTTTGTACAATGTGTCTTGGTGTGAAGTTGCCCGTGCTCCTTGCTTCTGTGTTTGTGTGTTTATCAAATTTTATTTCACATAGTGACGCTTCAGGAAACTAAAATGTTCTGGTCAATGCACAGTCTCCTACATAATTCAGTTTTCCCCGTAACTGGCTCCATTTGTGTGTGTACATCTCACAGTGAGTGTGGTGCTGGCTCTACGCCGTGCTTTAGGCAGACGCTAAGTGACCAGCCTTTACCTCAGCATCTACTCTACACACACATTTTATATAAGGTCTGGAGTTGACAGGAAAGTTCACTAAAGCCTAAGAGAATGCCTGTTACTGTCCAAAATCAGCACACTCTCAAACCTTACACACAAACAGACAAACACACACACACACACACGTATACACGCTGCCGTGTAGGCTTTTGGTTTAGCAGGACAGCACAGACTGCCCCCTTACGTTCTAAAAAAGAGTTTGTTTTAGAGGCAATAGCTGTGTTTCTGCCAGTTAGCAAAACACCTTCCATCTCAGTGTGTGTGAAATGTCTAATGTGTGATCTGTCCTTGAGCATTTTCTTTATTTAGCACATCCATTGTTGCTTTTCCGCTTCGCTGACCACAGATACCTAATGATTTGTTGAGGATAGGTGTGTTGTTACTGTGTCACATTGGTCAACTAGTTGGCTAGGTAGCGAGGTTGACTAATCTATGTAGCTTTAGGTTTTTCTGTTTACGGCACTACCACAAAATGTTAGTACTATATAGCATAATAGTACATATTAATATTATAATTATTTTGTGTGTGTGTGTGTGTGTGTGTAGGATGTATATGTATATAGGGCCGTATGAAATCCGTTTTATTTTTTCTCAAATTCCATTTTATTTTTTTCCAAATTCCATTTTTTCCATTTAAATTTTTCTGGATTCTGTTTTAATGGTTAAATTAAAAAAATATTAATCAAAAAGCATGAAATTAATTGAAATCATCAAATTTACACAATTAAACAGCAATTTATTGAAACATTTTTAGGGCCCTATGTAACCTATTTTACTTTTTTCAGTTTTATTTTTACCAAATTCTGTATTTTCCATTAATTTTCTGGATTCTATTTTAATGGTTTCATTACATTTTAATAATCAAAAGTTTGTCTAATTAATTGATTTTTTTAATTTATTATTTTTTTCATTTATATATTCTTTTCAGAAATACTGTATTGTGTATTTACATTCTTCAGGTTAATAATTTTTCTGGTAAACATTCCTTAAAAATATCATGTTTGTAGAAGAAGTAGTACTATCATTACATTATTTAATATATTTCTGTCACCGTTTCTTCTAGTTAAACCGATCTTTTATTTTGATGGGTTGCAGTGAAGACCTTTAAGTTTCTGTTTGTATGTGATATGGCGATAGTTTTTGTCAAAAGAAATGGTAAAATGCTCATGAAGTGACTCTGAGAAGGTCTAGAGCAGGGGTGCCCAAACTCGGTCCTGTTGGGCCGGTGTCCTGCAGAGTTTAGCTCCAACTTGCCTCAACACACCTGCCGGGAAGTTTCTAGTATGCCTAGTAAGAGCTTGATTAGCTGGTTCAGGTGTGTTTAATTGGGGTTGAAGCTAAACTCTGCGGGACACCGGCCCTCCAGGACCGAGTTTGGGCACCCCTGGTCTAGAGATTGTTTATGTGTTTATGTACTTGTATATTGAGGCAGCACAAGTTTGAAAACACTGCCACCGTTATGCGCACTTCAGCATGTGTGTAGTAAACAAAACCACGTGTCTGCGCCATAGTCTTTTTGTGGCGTATTATTCACAGACACTGGTACATATCGCGTTTTCATTTAGGTGTACCAACCTACTTATTCATCCAAAATTTGGCAAATTCTGTAACAGTCCACATAAATTCCATTTTTATGACTAATTCCACGATTCCGTTCACATTTTCCACATTGCGGAAATCAGAGGGCTGTATGTACAGTATATATATATATATATATATCCTAATGTATAGCTGAATACATGTGTCTTGAAGTTTACCTTTTACCACTTTACACCCCACTTAATGCATTATCCTCTAATTAGTCTATAAATGTTATTCAAGATTAACCATCATTAAATCAATAATTGCGCGCACGTGTGTGTGCGTGTGCGTGTGTGCGCGTGCATATAATGGACAATTCCCAGCATGCTCACTCAAGAAGTGATTAAACAAGGGCCCTTCAGCTTAATTACACCGAGGCCACCTGTCAGTAGATTAGCTGATCATGGAGCACAGCATTCTGGGTTAAATCAAAGAGCGGGAGTAGCAATCACATGGTTCCGTTCCTCTTAATCGAGCTGATTTCTTCTTCCGTTACTTTCATTACTTGCTCTCCTGCTTCCTCTCCATTTCTACTAACCGCCTCCCAATCACCTCAAGCCTCATGCCCATAGGGGTTCAGATGTTTCTTTTCCGAGTAAGTGAGAATTAGTTTTAAACACTCCTTTTATTTGCCGTTGTTGAAGACATTTAGCCCTGCCCAAACTCACGCCATTGGTGGATCTAGTGTTGATGTCATAACGTGATATAATTTAAATCCATATTACTAAAGTATGTTCCATACAGAATTACTTGATTGAGGTTATAGTAGGGCAGGACAAATCTTTTTTTTTGGAACCTGGTTTTTTGGAACCCTAATGGTGTCTAGTTAAGAATTTTTGATGTTGCCGAGGTCAACTAATGTCCCATGGGGTTCGTTTGGTGGCCATCTTGAAATTGTCATCGCGAGTGGCAAAAAACACATATTTTAATAACTCCTGAACCATACAACAAATAAACACAAATTAACCCACTTTTTGGTACATGGTACAACCACTCTTTATTGTTGAAAAACAGGCAAATTACACATTTTTCGGCTCAAAACAATGTAACTTTTGCTATTTTGTTCCGCAATAGTTTCCTGCATTAGCCAAATTACACTATATTTTCTCTTATTTCAATTGCAAAGTTGTTAAATAGATGTCAGTCGCTCCAAGTGACATAGATGGTAATCTGATAATACTAGCTAATTGAAAGCAAAAGTCATCAAAACCCAGTTTCAGTCTCCAGGCATCAGTCTCCACCTCTTCAAACGTGACCCTGCTGGTGGATATTTTTTTCAATATATTTGCAATGAAAGTATAATCAAAACAAACCAGTATGTTAAAAATCTAAAATATAACCCAGAAAAAAATCTACACAAATCAAAGTAAAAAATTGGCATGAACAGCATCCCAATTCTGCTACATTCTAACTCCTTATTTGCCATCGTAGCTACTCATTGGTTACTTTTAACTACTACTTATGCATTTCAGATATCCATCGTCACCACTCAGCAAGATACAGCAAAAAGATTTTACATCTGATGTATTATCTCCCTTTTTTACAACTAGAAATATGTCACTACTGTAAATTGATAATATGGGTATATTATAGTACTGTATTATATAGTATTAAATAGTACTGTCAAATTAAATTACCTTCTAGATATCTAGCTAACACTAGGTAATGTTAGATAGATAACATAGCTACTTAATAACAGTGGTGGAAGTATTGTTCAGATCATGTATTCAAGTAAAGTACTACTACTAATACCACACTGCAAAAGTAAAACTATGGACTATCACCAAAATGTACTTAAACTATCAAAAGTTAAAGTTCTCATTGTGCTGTATACTAGCATACATACAGTATAAAATGTTTTTGGATTAATATTACTGCTGCATCTGTTGCATTTTACTGCTGTAGATGTTTAAGGTTGAGCTCATGTTAACTACTTTATATACTGTTGGGTAGTTTATTCTACAGAAATGCATCATATTCTATAAGATCATTTGTTTGTAGCGCCACTGTCCTGTGAGAACCACGTATCTCTAAAATGTCAACTTTTCATGAGCTCAGCAAAACAGCCCTGTTTTGAGCTTTGTAACAATTAATTTTCAAGCTAATCCAAGAAGGTTTTAATCAGTTTATTTAGCTTTAGAAGTAGGAGAATTTTCTCAACCCATATAGGAAAACTTCAGCCTTCAGTTTATCTGAAACTTTAATTCACCAAATGTGGAGATACGTGGTTTTCACTGGACGCATGGGATATGAAAAATTGTAATCCATGTTAATATTTATCTTTCCTCAATGGCAGAATATATAAAAACAACAAACCATGATGAAAAGGGGAAAGAGGAAAGTGATCAGACGTGTCTGAACCCCGTAAGACTTGAAGAACCTCAGACACTTTGATCTTCTGAGATACAGACAATACACACACAGTGTATTAACATGCAGACATTCGTTTTGACATCTCACTTAGAGAAATGCGGGAAAAACTCCTCTCACCTATCCTTTTCATTCTCTTACTTCCCCTCACCCATCTCCCCTCACTCTGCTCACTCAGAATGGTCAATGCCATAATATAATGTTCTACATGAATGCAAGTGTTATTCACACCATTGGATATCTTTGTTGGGCCATTTGAGTGAACCTTACAACCCTGTCTCAAAAGCCCTACTCCCACTTGTGTATTACACACCACAAATGCATCTGACGACTGCTTTACTTGCTTCAATTCTATGAAAGGTGATTCAAAAGCGCGATTGTCTCATTTACTTGATGTCTGTGACAGAAGACTAGCTGAGCCAGTTGATTCACCTTATTTTATGAAGGCTGTTTGTGATCGGCTGCCGGAAACACTAGATGGTGTCAACTTGGAGAACACTGGGTACCATAGGAACTGCGACCTGAACTGCATATCCAAGATGGATCGATAGACAAGTTCTACTTTAGCTACTTCAGACCAGCCCTCTGCAACACATAAGTATTCTCCTCAAAAGTCGAAAACTGCACAAGCATCAGCATGCTCTATCTTTCCTAAAGAATGCATTTTCTGTGACCAGTTTGAAGTAAAAGTGC